GCCTTGCGTACCGCTACGAGATGTTCCTCGTTCAACCTTGCCGACTCCATGGCTACCCGCATTGATCTCGGCCTATCCATCCGTACCTTCGCAGCTAACTCGGCCTTCAGGCCTCCCAAAAATGCCCCAACTAGTGCACTCTCGGGTCAATCTCGTACCCGACTTGCAATCCTCTCAAACTCCTTTTGATAGTCGCATAGACTACCAGTTTGCTTAATTCGAGATAGAGCTTCATCATAATCGTAGTAATCACTAGAACCAAACCTTGTAATGAGCTCCCTTTCAAAGTCCCTCCAATGCATGTGCTCACCATGATTTTTGTGCAAAATCCATTGCCACCACACGTTTGCTTCTCCATTGAGATGATAAGCAGCAAATTGAACTCTCTCATACCTTCGCACATTGTTGATCTCAAAATACTATGTTGCCCGGCACAACCATGCATCCAGATCTACTCCCGTGAACGTGGGCATGATGATCTTTGGTCGCGCATAAGCCCGTTCCTCGCGGTGTTCGTCGTGGTAGTGCTCCTCGCGCCCATCGCGCGGTCGTCAGTTGTCTGCACGCATTCGGTCGTCGCGGTGTGGTCGCCGCTCGTCCTCGCGATATCATCGGTCCTCGCGGTGGTGACTTGCGTGCGACGCGTACGTCCGCCGTGAATGCCCGTCGTCATCCTCGCTCTCTGTCCTGGTCCCGCTCGACGCCGTGGAAGTCCTGGTCTCGTGACTTCTCCTTGGCCGATGGTTCAAGCGTGTAAGCTGTCCGGCCAAATCGTGGACCATCAATTCTATCCTCCCCAAATTCTTATTGGTGACATGTTGGCTCTCTCCAACGGTTTTTAAACTATCCTCCAAAGCTTGGATTCTTTCACGGTTTGACATCATAAATCTCTCTTTCTTTTTTTTTTAAGACTCTCTCAAAAAAAATCAAACCGAACAAACAAAAAATATATTTTTTTTTTACTCACGAAAAAATTAAAAAAAGAACAAAAATTTCGAACCAAAATTCGAATAAAAACAAAGAGAAATTCGGCCCCTCAACAAAAGGTAAAAAGCGAAAAAATAAAAAAATAGATAAACAATAACCTTGATCGGACACCCTTCAATGAAACCTTCTCAATGAAAGCACCAATGATGAGTGATCGGAGTGTTGATCGCGGTTGTTGTCTATTTCGGTTGCGTGTAACCGTGCACTCGAGCCTTCGACTACAAACGATAGATGTGACTAACAAACGCACTACAACCTTTTCTTAGACACGCGTGACTTCAAGACGCACTAATGGCCTTCTCTCTGACACTTGTATGTAAACACGCACTACGGCCTTGCTTAACACACGTTAGAACACCAAGTTCCCTTTTTCTATTCACTCATCAATTCTCTGGACATTCAATAATGAAGAGGTACATGGGTATTTATAGATGCATAAAATAATTTAAGACTAAGCTAATTAGATCTCCTAATTCTAGAATGAAAAGCAACATGGTAATAAAATCCTAATATTACTAAAACTACTAAAGACTTGACTGGCACTCCCATCTAATTGATGCCCAAGTCATACGCACACCCAAAAACCTTCACCGTCTCGGCCGCCTTTCATGCGTGCGCACCGCCCTTCGGCGCTTTCCTACTCCTTGGCGCGCGAGGCATCGCGCGCCTCGTCCGTCTCGCACGCGCGCGTCCTAGCGCGAGGCCAGTCTGCGCCGCCTTCACCCTAAGCGTGTGCGCACGCCCGTCTTATGCCCTCGCGGATTAGGACGTTCGCGTCTGCCCCACTCGTGCGCCCTTGCGCGCGCCTTGCTTACGCCGTTTGTGTCCCGCGCATCCTCGCCAACCGCGCGAGCGCCGCGCACTCCTACTCCTACTCGATCAAGGCCTTCGCCCGCGACGCCCCACGCATTGCTGCCCGCGCATAATGCGCGCTTGCGCATAGGGCTGTAAACAAGCCGAGTCGAGCTCGGCTCATTAAGTAAACGAGCCAAAAATCGAGCTCAAGCTCCGCTCGTTAAGGCCTCAAGCTCGAGCCTTGACGAGCCGATCTCGAGCTTTAACGAGCCGAACTATAAAAAATTACATAAATTTCACTTTTCGAGCCTTAACGAGCCTTATCGAGCCGAGCCGAACTCGGCTCATT